GCTATAAGGCGCTCCTTTGATCTCCTTTTCGCTGATCAGCTGCAGCTTTGAGCCGGCAACTGACTGATCGCCGCCGCCTGTGTTTCCATCGCTGCTGCCGCCGGTCGGGCAATACTGGAAAACCAGCAAACGGCCAGTCTTCGCGTCCGAGTCGTCCGGATAGACGACCGCCGTACCGACCTAAAACACACATCAACAGTGACCGTTGGTCAACACATTAGCACAACAAAACAAGCACAATTTTACCACGTAATAAACTGCCGGATCGTCGGCGAACTTGCACGATATGACGCTGCAGCCTTGCTCGTTGGCCGTGAACTGATGAGCGTGAATCACTTCGAACGTGTTCTGGTCGAGGATCAGAAAATTGTGTATCTCCTGTTCATCAGCGTCCGAGTTGTTTGCCGGAGTCTTGACGACGCCGGCGATGTCCGTCGAGGCGGCACTGGACTTGAGCAGGGGACTGCCGCGGGACACCGACTGCGCCAGCACACTGGCTGACGGACGTGAGACAAGGGAAGCGTCGATGAATTCGTGTCGGATGGTCAGAACACCAAACGTCTGCGTCTCTTCCTGATAGGCGATTCGTCGCGGAGTTTCGCCCAAAGGCACCGTTCTGATGTGCAGTTTCTGGATGTCGTCCACGGTGCCGATCATCAGCGTCCGACCGTCGGTCATTGCCAAGCTGTCCGGATACGCCTTGGCGTTCAACGGACACATGTGCGTGACGATGCGTAGGTTTACGTTACTGAACAGCAGTTTCTGGTTGTTGCAGTAGATGACGGTCGGGCGATCAGAGCAAGCGAACACATTCTTGATCGACCTGAATAGAAACGCTTATGTAAAAGAAAAGAGCCTGAACGACAGAAATGCTTAAAACCTGGATTCAAAGGTTCGTAGGGCGATCGGCTGGGTGCCAAGAGTGACCTTCTTCCTATCCAGCAGCTGTCCTGTCTTTTCGTCGACGTGGTAGTATAAAAGTGTCCCGTCACCCAGTGCCACCAGGAGGTAGATCAACGCCTCAAACTTGTACAACATCAGCGACCGCGGAATGATATCGCCGCCCAACGATTCTTTCGTCACCACGTTCATAGAGGGAACATGAATGAGCAAGACAGAGATTTCCATCCACAGACCGACAGCAAATACTTCAGACTTGTTGTACACACCGATCGGTGACATGTCCAAACACGCCACCTCGTTGTCCAATTTCGTCGTATTTACCTGTGTCACTTTCTTGTCACTGATAGTCAAGTAATACAGATCCCGTCCACTGGCGGCCACCAACTGGCCGGTAACCGCATTGCAGCAAACAACGTTCACGTTCCGTCCGTCGCTGGGGTGCCACTCACTCAGCAATCCCTCATCAGCGCCAGACGTAGAAATGAGTCTTACGCCTGCGGTTGTGACTTGAATTATGGAACTTGTACGACCAAAACTTGCAGCAAACAGAGTTCGCTTGTCGTGCTGCATCCCCGGCAGTTCGACAGCCTCGACCTCTTCACCGTCAATCAGCAACGCTGTCGTTCGAGTGACAAGCGAGACGACCATAAGGTTATTGAACTGATCGCTAGTTTTATACGCGAGAGCCCATAAACCCTTAATACCAGGCAAATCCATAGTGGCCAGCTCGTGGATACCGATACCGTTTCTGATTATACGCAGGCTTCCTTCCTACAAACATTCATTAATAAGTAAAACATTTTCGTCACCCATATTAACATCATTTTAAGCAAATGAATAAGCTAATAAAGACACCGGTCGAAAAAAGCGGGACTCGAATGGGAAAGCGATAAGGAGGTAAAAGACTTGCTGTGTGATAAGACTCTCAATCAAACAAAAGCGAAAAATCTATTGAAAGGTATTACGATCTATACTAACGTGCATTGCAGTATCTTCGGTCTCGTTTAAGAGATAAGAGCAACAGTTCATCTCCATAGAAAAGCGAACACTGATGAATTTGTGGGATAGACAAAAATGACCACATCCAAGGCACCGGCATAAAGAGCCGTTAACGACACTACATACGGTTCAAATAAAAGAAACGCGTACACTTATCGAAAACAGGCTACTTTGATTTAGCTTGACTACATGGGAGGCATACCTAGCGATTATACAAAAGTTGTCAAAATACTGATATGGAACGAAAAGAAAAGGGGAAGAACAACGAAAATCAACGGTAATGTTAGAAGGATACGAATCTGTGGGAAACGACTGAGGAACGTGGAGGAAATTCAGGAGAACATCTAGACACCTGTAAAAGGAATAAGTAAGAAAAAAGACGAAGGGGAAGAGAAAAAACAAGAAGGATCAGAATAGAAAAGGAGCAACGGAAAGAATAAGAATAGAAAGAGGACACAACTGCTTAGCTGCTAACGGGTTAGAAAAGTACTCTCAGTAATGAAAAGAGCTTTACTTGGAAACTGCGTGTGAATGTGCCTGTTTTTAATATTACCCAGTAATGCAGCGTTGCATGTACGCGTTGTCGGTGATCATACTTCACACAGCCTGGCTTCCTTAAACGTCACATAAGCATTCAGCAACAAGGTGGCTGTACAACACTGCGTCATATCCCAGCGTAATGACAGGTATTGTCATTCTTTACAACAGCATTGGTGTAAACCAAATTTATAGAAGAAGAAAATGAAAAGAGAAAGAGAAAAACGAAGAAACGAGAAGTCGGAAAGAAGAGGGCAATAATTCTTAGCTGTCAGAAAAGAAATGCTTCTGGTCACTGGGATATTGGAACGGCACATTTCCATGACTTGTAACATCTTTGTACCCTGAGCTTATGGTGCAGGGCTGATCTCATCACGAAGCCATGTGCTTGAAGGCAATAAGTACAGCTTGGAGATCAGAACCGGCTAGAGATCAATGGTCTCTATTACACATTTATCAAAATCAAAATGATGAAAAACAAAAGCCAGTAATCCGAACGGGTCTTTCAGTTATGAGTCCAAAGTCCTACCCACTGCACTATGTTGGCTTGCCGCCAGCATAAAAGTGTGCTCTGCGATTTTTCTCAATTACAGCTGAAATTTTGGTAAAAATTTCTCAACCATGGCTACGACAGATAAATGACCTTCACAAATGAAACCCTTTACCTAGTTCTGGACGCAAATCGTTCCTGTGAAAATCGAGTTTCAGTGAAAATGACAAGCAGATAGACCGTGAAAGTATGTGAAATATGAACAGCTTTGACCAAAGAACCAGTCGTTTCTGTCACTAATAGTGTACAAGTCATCATTTTTTGCACTGCCTACTAACGGATATACTTCAAACTTGTCATGTCTTTCTGGGAACCGGTGTTTTAAAATAAATAACTAAATAACGACGTACTAACGATAGGCAGTTTCCACTCGATAAATCTCTAAAGTGGCAGCAGCAATACTACAAGAATCTACGACCCAGGCGGTATCCTGAAGAAGAATCATAGTCTCGCTGTAAAGGAAAAACCAGAATTCAAATGATAATTGAAGACAATATAAGGGGAAAGGAATAAACACCTTAGCAAAGCCAGAACAGGTAATCAGTTGCCCTTGGCCTTGACGTTCCAAATCGACAACGACCATGTCGACGATCGGTCCGAGGTTTGTATAAGTGTCCAAAACGGAAATGTACGATCCACGTTCGTCCGCTTCCTGATTAAGGCGAACCAGCTGTGAATCACCAAGACGACTACCGATGAACAGCACGCCGTTGTCCAAGTACGTCAAGCATTCGGGAATCGTGATCTCGCCAAGGTACTCTACCTAAAATGAACGGAGGACGGTAGATATAGAGTGAAAAAAACTCAGTGAAATGTCAAGAGTGATTCGCTTACCTTCAGATCACGAACGTTTACACCTCCATCCATTTGCTCCTCCAGGTCCAGCACCAGCATGAACAGGCGACCGGCCATGTCGCCCAGGATGTAGCGACTGCCGTCCTTGTCGACCCGTCCAAAACAGTTGATCATGCTTTGCTTAATGATCCCTGGCGCTACGACAAAATACTGACTCTCGCGACGAATGTACGTGATCGACTCCTGGCCGATTACCAGCACGCCGCCGATCGGACTGGGAACAGCAATCAGCATGCTTGCCTCTGATTCGACGCCGTCCTGCTTCCATGGACCTTAAACAAAGCAGATCTTACGTTAATGACTTTTCTGCTGCCACAGTGGCATTCACGGAAACAGATGCGACGAGATCGATGGTTCACCCCGGAGTTCCCTGATTAGACTTGGCGAGGCGGCATTTCTACAGGTCAAGCTAGGAAACAAAAGAAAGAGGAAAGTGAGCACGGACAACAAAACCAGCTAAGTTTCAGCATAAACATGATCACAAGCATTTTTTAGACTTCGATGAAAAAGAAACTACCATAGAAGCCAATGATTGATTGATAAAACATCATCAATAAATCCATCTATAGCATATCTTCAAATCATTTCTTAAAATCATTCAGGCGTTCTGTTATGTAAATTCTTTATTTAACAAAGAAATCCAGCAACCACAGTCCCAAGCGTGGATAAAGAACCAAGGGAGAGGGCTGGAGACCGTGGCGAGGTCTCTCGTAAAACTTAGCCACAAGTTCCTCATGGTATTGCCATCGAACATATTACCTGCTCGGTTTTCACCTGGAAAATCAAGAGCCGCACAGACTGTTAAGGGACTGAAGCAATCTGCAAAAAGTCGGCAGTCAGAATCTGTTTCTCGCCTACTGACAATTGGAGGAGTAGCAGCACGACAAAGGCTGCCGATGGTTCGACCAAACTAGCATCATTCTTTCGATCTGTATTAAACAACGGATTTATTTCTTGTCCCTCATGTCGCAAATCCTTTAACAAGAAGCCACATCCAATGCCATACTAAGTTTATGTACTACCGAATTTCTATCTATCTGTTTTCATACATCAGTAGTTTTCTGACCGTATGGTGTGGTGGCACGGTGCCTAAGAGGTAGGTTTAGAACCACGGAGATGCTGAGTTTAATTCTGGCGGGCAGCAAAGAAGAATTCCATTGAGTAAGGAATTCATTACAAATTGTTTCAAACCGGGGTTGCA